TTGCTAGTATAAAGTATTCATAACGTTATGATCATACCGTACTGGATTTTGGGGTTCAAACAAAATCAGCGCATATGAGTATATTGATAGTAGCATTATCAACTAGAGTATTTTGTTGGTGAAATTCTATCAATGGTAAAAAAAATAAAAATAAAACTAACAATAGTTAAACGTTTGTTAAGGTGTACAGTTTTATCAAAAGTTCGATCTCTATTAACTAACAAACGTTTACTGTAAGTCAAATTTTACCGATATATTATCTAATACAGTTAATAAATAATATGTTTTGAGCAAAGTTGCGCAAATCCTTAAAAAGGTTTATGTGTATTTTTGATAATGAATTGTGAGTGACCCCCGTATTGATCACATTTTAATAGAAAAATACAAGTTAATAATTTAGAAATTTAAATATTGCTTTAGTAGGTGAAATAACACAAAGAGAATGGAGAGTAAATGCAAGATACAACTAAATTGATTTACACTCTTTGAAGCATTTTATTTTAGTAATCAACATAATCATCATATATTTGCTTTAGTGCTATTAACTCTCTCATTATTATTACATATATTTAAAAATACTATATAACAGTTGATATTAATGAGAATTGTTATTATTTAAAAGAAATTTTATTAAATCATCGCTTCTTTAAACATATTAATTGGGAGTATGAATTTTTTTTTATTTTAGTTTATATTAATTAATTTCCCCCTCTCCAAAAAAAAATAGATCTATACTAGTAGTGTACAATCAACAAGGATTGTTTTACGCGGCCATTGTTTTAGAAAATAGAAATTATTATTTGTCGAAAAGTTGTATTTTGGCCAATCAGAAATGAATGTTTTCAAAGCAATAAATTTGATTGGCCAGCTTTATTTCGTGTTTCGGTGCAACTACTACTACAGGGCTGGGACCGTATCCTTATTATTATTATTATTATTATTATTATTATTATTGTGACCAATACCCTGATTTCTGTTTTAGTACACATGTTACGCATGCGTAAATTTTTATTGTTATGCTTTTGCAGAATTTCCTGATGGAATATTATTAGTATACATGCAGCCCGAATTGTTTTCCTGATCTCAAAACTTAAAATTATCTCGATTACTAAAACCATATATGGAATTTCAGGCGTAATATCAGAAAAATTGCAAATTTTACACAAACATTATTATTGTTATATAAGCATCATGACTTGTTTGTAATAGTAAATTTTACCTATGTTGCGGCGGTCGTGTAAACTTTATTTTATGCAAGTTTACGTCAAATTAATTTCCGGACGTGTAACAATAATTTTTGATCGTGTCAGGGTCCTTCCATTATTATAAGCAGAGCCAGTGTCCACGTAATCACAAATTAAAAAATTAATTATAGAATAAATGCAAAGATTGCTCAACAACAATCAATTTGCCATGAATCATCATCATTAGCGAATTAGAACATCGTTATTAAAAAACAAGGAAATTTATTTTTAATATAGTTCAAGAAGATCCAAACCTAAAATTGTATAAAGACATCGTTATTACAAAGAAAAATATAATAATAATAAATATTTGTTTTCCGATATTTAATAATAATAAGGCATTTTTCTGATATTTTGATTCTGTATTTCACGTATAATTTGCATAACGAACCCAAATGCATAATCAAGTAATTATCGGATAAAGATATTTATGCGAGGGATCTATACCATGAGTGCCTCACTAACACAAGTTTATTTGCTGCATGTATTTAATCCTTCATTATTCTCATAACAAATATATCAATAAAGTATACTAAATAACAATTAATTGAATTAAAATGCATTTGGAATCCAATCTCAAGTTGTAGTGTATTCTTGAATGGTGATTACAAAATTTATAAACATGATTAATTATAATAATATGTAATAGATTTTTTAATTTATTTATTTATTTATTTTGAATAATTGGTATTTTTTGATAACGTGGCGTTAAAAATAAAAAATAAAACCCCCTGCAGTTTAACTATCTTTCCCGGAATTACCCGTCGCCGACATAGCGAATTATACGTCATAACAGACTTTTAAAGGTTCGTTTTAAATAATACTTTCCAAATCAATTTTGGAATGCACAAATCATTGATTGATTATTTGTCAATCACAATCGTAGAAAAATCTTCAGAGAAAAATTTATTGGCGATTTGTAGATCAATGCTTTGTGATCAAAACAAAATCGTGCGAGTTTGAAATTAACTTCTGGGGCAAAAACTTGAATTAATAATCTATTTTTTTATAAAAGAAAGTTTTAAAAAACAAATATCAATTAATTTTTTAAAAAAATTTTCAAATAACTATTATATAATAATGAACTCCATATTTAAAAAATCAAAACGTTCGAAACTATCACTACCACCACCACCAACAGCACCATACCACACTCTTCAAATCAACGATATAATTCAACACTTAAACACGAATATTGAAGGAGGTTTGACAAATGAAGAAGTTATCGAAACACGTTTTCCAATTTATGGATTGAATGAATTATCAGGCCAGGGGAATGTCAACGCATTCATGGTTTTGGCAAAACAATTTTTAAATGCTTTAACGTTGATATTGATGATTGCCATGATTGTCTCTTTTGTCACGAAAGATTATATTGAAGCAGGTAAATAAATAGGTCGTGTGTGGCGCTGTAAACCACGTGATGTTGATTTATCTATCTATAAAAGTTAATATTAAAATATTAATGATTCTCTTTGAAAACATTAAATAGGCGTGATTGGATTTGTTGCAATAACAAATGCATTAATCGGATTTTTTCAAGAGTATCGGGCCGAGAAAACTATGGAATCATTAAGAAAAATGACTTCGCCAACTGCAAGAGTTATTAGAGAAGAAGCTTCAACGTTTGTTCCTACGAATACTCTAGTACCTGTAAGCACTAAAATTATTACTACTATTATTATTTGATGTTTTTTTTAGAACATTTTACTTTGAACCGAATTGATTGATCATCGTTAATTAGTCAATTCAAATCTGTCATGATAATCCTTGATCATGTGACATTATAAATTCTTACATTAATAGAAAATTAACGTTGATAATCTTATTGATAATCTTTTTCTTCTACATATATTAGGGAGATATATTAGTAATTGAAGAAGGAGATGTAGTTGGTGCAGACGCCCGATTATTTGAATGTCAAAATTTGGAGATTGATGAAGCCTTATTAACTGGTGAATCTGTACCTGTTGCCAAATTGTAAGTATCTTTCTTCAACCGGAAAGTATTAAAGAGAACAGGGAACAAACAAAATCATCTTGTGCTGTGACTATACCTTCAATCAAATAATGATGATGATTATTACTATGATTACTAATTATATTTATAATTTCTATTAATTATTTAGTGCTGATGTGATCGAAGAACATGATAAACCAATAGGTGATCGATTAAATTTAATATATTCTAGTACAACAGTAACAAAAGGAAGAGGAAAAGGTTTGTAATAAACTAAATAAAGAACGTGATCATCATGATTTTGACATTATAAATCCTTGATAGTTAATTTTTTCTTAATTAAAAAATTTAAAGGCATTGTTATAAGTACAGGAATGGAAACAGAAATTGGGAAAATTGCAAAAAGTTTATCGTCATCATCTATTATACAAAGGAGTCCTTTACAAAAGACGTAAATTAATTAATCTATCATTTCAAAATAATTGACTTTTTGCAAAAAAAAAAACCAACTAATTCCAATCTGTTATATAGAATGGATATGATGGCATATATATTATTTGGAATAGCTGTTGTGCTATCCGTAATAGTATTTGGTGTAAATAAATGGCAATTTACTAGAGAGGTTTTTATTTATGCAGTATCTGTTAGTATTGCCATATTACCTGAAGGTCTTGTTGCTGTGGTATGCATACATTTTGTAACACATTTTAATAGAGGGAAGATGATTTTCAAATCGAGTGAAAATATACTAATTATTTATTTGTTATAATGTTAGATTACATTAACTATGGCTTTGGGTGTACGGAAAATGGCCAAAAATAAAGCAATTGTTCGTAAACTGAGCGCATTGGAAGCATTGGGATCTGTAACAAACATTTGTTCTGACAAAGTAAAATTTTTTTTTAAATTATTTATTTTGAATTTATAAATTGAATTTTCACCCTCACACATATTAATATCCATAATCAATAAAGACTGGTACACTTACACAAAGCAAAATGATTGCAACCAATGCTTGGTTATTACACGAAGGTTTTTACAAAATAACTGGTCGTAAAGGTTACTCTCCAAATGGTAAAATATATAACATTGGCCATAGTCTTTCTAATAATTATAATAATGATTGTGGTGATGATAATGATGGAGAAGGAGACGTGGGAAATGAGAATGAGAACGTGGGAAATAAGAAGGCGAAGGAGGTATCGTTGGGTGGTGAAGAAGTGACATTTAAAAATATGAGTTATGCATTTAGACAACTAGTTCAAACTTCCGCTCTTTGTAATATGGCCGTGATTAGAAAAGGTGTTATTCGTGGTGAATGGAATGTTATAGGTGATCCAACTGAGGTTAGAAAGTTTTATTATTATTATTATTATTATTATATTTTAATCATAATAATTATTTTAAATAATCACACACACACACACACACATCCAAACATTTGATATAGGGAGCACTTCAAGTATTTTCACATAAAGCTGGATTACCAAAACCGGTACTTGAAAGCGACGAATTTAAATTCAAATTAATAATGGAATATAACTTTGACACAATTTTAAAAAGAATGTCGGTCCTTTACAAAAATGAAATCACCAATGAATATTATGTATTCATGAAAGGTGCAACTGAATCTATTCTAAAACAATGCACAAAATTCCAAGTTGGTGATGATGTTGTCGAGAGAGAATTTAATGATGATGGTAGTGACGAAAAATTTAAATTGGAAATTAATAATAGTCTTGAGAGTTTGGCTAGTAAAGGATTGGTAAATTTATTTGTTTTCTTATTTGCTAGTGAAAAAAAAAATTTTTTTTGAGACGATTAATAATTAAAACACTAATATTTCCAACTGTTTTTTATTGTTAGCGTGTATTATCATTGGCATATCGAAAAATAAATAATTCTAGTAAAACAGATAAAGAATTTTCAATGATGACACGCGAGGAAGTGGACAACGATATGATATTTTTAGGATTTGTTGGTATTTACGATCCACCAAGACCTGAATCAAAGGATGCCGTAATGAAGTGTTTTGGTGCTGGAATTGAAGTTCACATGTTAACAGGTAGAAAATTAATTTTATTTATTTCCTAATTCATTTTTCATTCAATAATCTAATCTTTTTCAATAAATATAGGCGACCATCCTTTGACCGCAGCAGCAATTGCTAAAGAGATAGGAATAATTCCCTCAAATTATTTAGTCAGTAGTAATAATATTAATAAAATCGCTAATGACGATAATGGATCACAATCGCAACTTGTAATGGCAGCAACACAATTTGACGCATTTACTGATAAAGAAATTGATGAACTTAAAGAACTGCCAAAAGTTATTGCTCGTTGCAGTCCTGAAACTAAAGTGAAAATGATTGAGGCTTTACATAGAAGAAAAAAATTTGTGGCAATGACTGGTGACGGTGTCAATGGTATGAATAAGAATGACTACTATGATGAAAATAATAATTATCATCATCATTATTATTATACATAATGTATTTACTTACTTTTCTATTTTTCCCTTTCTCTTTTCCACAAATTTCACAAAGACTCGCCAAGTCTTAAAAAAGCAGATATTGGTATTGCAATGGGAATGGGCGGTAGTGACGTGGCAAAACAAGCAAGTGATATAGTGTTGACTGATGATAATTTTGCAACTATAGTTATCGCAATCTCTGAAGGTCGTAGAATCTTTGTAAATATACAGAAATTCATTTCACATTTACTCAGTGGAAATGTATCAGAGATTGTTGCATTGGTGATCGGGTTGTCATTTATTGATGCTGATGGTTTATCGTTAAATCCAATGTCACCATTACAAATACTTTTCTTGAACATGGTTACTAGTTCACCGCCTGCAATGGGTTTGGGGATTGAACGAGCATCAAAAGATATAATGAGATATCCACCCCAAAGTCGTCGTGGATTATTTTCATGGGAAGTCATTGGTGATACGTTATTTTATGGATGTATTATGGGTGGATTGACGTTAGCAAATTTTTCTATAGTGATTTATGCAGCTGGTGATGGAAACTTAGGTAGCGGATGCAATTATAGTTTGAATCCGGAGATAGAAGACGCATGTGAACAAGTTTTCCGAGCAAGAGGTGTATCCTTTGCGACTTTAACTTATCTACTATTTATACATGCCTATAATTGTCGATCGTTAAGAAATCCGATTTGGTCGATGCATTTCTGTGATAATAAATTTTTATTTTGGGCAGTAGTTGGCGGTGCACTTATTGCAATTCCTACTTTTTATATACCTGGGTATGTAGCGAAATCATTTATTAATTAAAAAAAAATTAAATTACTAAGATAATCTTTTTTTTATTTCATATTTTAATTAATCAATTAGGTTGAATACAAAAGTATTTCATCAATTAGGGTTTAGTTGGGAATGGGGATTAATACTGGGATCAATAATAATATTTGAAATAGTTGTTGAAATATATAAATTTTCCAAAAGGCGTTATTGTGCACCTTTAATGTTTGCTAGTTTAGTACCAGGAGGAGGAGAAGAAGAGGATGATAATGGTGGAACAAATATCACAATAGTATGACATACATAATATAATATTTTATGTTCACAATATTTTTTATTTTAACTTCAAAATTATAAAAAGTCCAATACACGTGTAATAAATTCAAAAATTCTTTATAACATTTGAGCATTATATACCAAATCGATTGCATTATCATCCAATCAAATATTGAATTTCTGGAGATAATTTCTGAATTTGTACTGGTACATGACGAAATTTCAACAACAGTTTTCAAGGTGCATTATGAAATCCGATCCTTTTTTAAAGCGCAAAATCTACATGAGTATATGCGAATTTATCCCGTTAATCCGAAGAAAAATGGCTTCATAAAATGCCTTCGGCCTAACGGGGATGACTATGTAATAATTTATTTAGTTAATCAATTATTGTTGAACAAAGTCATTCAAGCTTCAAATATTTAAACCATATGAAACGTATCTTTGATGATAAATTTTTTATTACAATCAATCAATCAGGAATACGATTATAAAATAATGATGCCCATTTTAAAGATTGCCTTATAAAAATAAATAAATTCCACCGTACATGGGAAAACTTTTAGAACTGTAGAATTGCTGGTTTCTTTAATATGATAATGACCTATTCACAATGAAGGATGGGTCTTTTCAATCTGAAAATACTATATATAATTGATAATTCTATTCAAAATCGTCAAATAACTTTTATTATATAGGACATCATTCCACAGTTCTGGGAATTGAATTTTTTGCATGATAATTATAAAGCTTATAATTGGTGAAAACATTAATATTAAAGGTGGGTGGTAAAGAATATGTTTAAATAATGTGTAACATAATTGAATACTTGGTTTTTAAAACAAAAATAAAAGCAACCTTTGGTCATATAGTGCAACTAAATAAAAATTATTCGTCTTTTATTATTGTCATTATCTTTTCCTTTGAAATTCATTTTGAAATAATTTTGCCAACAAAATTTTTAGATATTAAATGTCAGATAACAGTTCAAGCTCTGGCTCTTCAAATGAAAGAAAAAACAAAAGCTTTGTTCATCCCCATTCCCTACTGGGTTTAAATGTAAGGTTGCATGAAAAAATGACAATGAATGCAACAAAGATGACAGACCAACAATTTTTTTTCAAAAATTCGAATTAGTATTAGTATTAGTATTAGGAAAAAAATTCGAATATTCAAATATCCCAACTCGGATTTTAGAATGGATTGCTGAAATTTTTTGTTAAAGATTTAGAAATGGAAAGAAAAATTTCTGCACTATTTCTTTATACATAAAAAAAATCAATTTATATTACAAAAATGGTTATGTTTCTGGAAGATAACCAGAGCCATAATTTCTAATCGTTATGTATATGAAAATAATATTTATATAGAAAATAACATAATAATTATACATTGGGGTTGGAAAAATCAAAGTTACATCATAACAGGTTCATGGTCGGTGCTCGAATAAGGTTGATTACCTGTATATGGTTGTGGAGATTGTGGAGGCGGTGGACTTGAATATGGATTTTGTTTCACATTGTATTGATCATCATATTGAGAATTTGGATAAGGTTGTGGAGGTGGAGATTGAAAATTATTATATTCGCCATATTGAGAATTTGTATAAGGTTGTGGAGGTGGAAATGGTTGATTACCATATTGAGAAACAGGTGGCTGATTGATAGGTTGTTGATATTGAGCAACAGGTGGCTGATTGATAATTGTTGCCGCATTTTCGGGACCATTGATGTTAGCTGTAGCTTGATCTCCCGTGTAAAATGCAAAAACTGAAATAAGTGAGCATATGAGAGCTAAAATTACAGGTACAAGTCCACTGGCTCCAATACTTGTTGTAGTATAATCATCGTCAACGGCTTCTTTGATTTTTAAATAATTGTCAATTTGTCCTCCAATTGCTAACAGAATGATAAATGAACTGAATAATGCGAAGATCCATGACACTTTTTTAGGTATAGGATTAGTACGGGCATATATTCCAACGGAAAATAGCATGAATGATGTTATTACACCTAAAAATATATTCAAACAATAAACAATAAATAATTAATTATATACAATATTTTTCGCATTTTAAGTAAGCACATTACCAATAGCATGCATAGACAACAAAAACTTTGTACTGCCATTTCTATCGTCATAAGTATTATCAAGACCAAGACTCGCGCATTTATTATTACTTGAAGCATAACTACTGTAAACCTTCGCACAAACGCCATATACTCCAAATATAACTTTTCCGGTTGATGAATACTTTAATTTTATTTCAACGCTCGTAATAAAAATTCCTTCGATAATTGGCGCCCCCAAGTTCACCAAAAGAAGACAAAAGAATGAGACAAACGACAAACCAGCTGCACCAGTGTTTGCAACTTGTGCGTCAATTCCTTCCATCACTTATAAGGGGTAACGTTTTTTAATAAGTTTAAAAAATTTTTGGTGATAAAAAAAAATTTTTTTTTTTCGAAGGCTAAGCAAGAGTCAGTTTTTTTTTATTTCTTATTAAATTTTCCTCGTTTAAATATATGCAAACAAATATTTTTGTATACACTTTCACAAAAGAATTCTAAAAAAAAAATTTGAGTTTGTTTTTATTTTTGTATAATTACACAAATTTATTCAATGTTATACGAAAATTACATTATGGATATATAATGGAAAGGTAACAAAAATGACAATAATAATAATGGTGGTGACAAAAAGTTGCATTACAAACATAACCAAACAAGTATAAAAAAAATTTAATATTGCCAACCAATTTTTTGTAAAACTAATTCACATTCTTTTTTAAAACCTCAAAATTTTTGACTTAAAAATTTTGACAGAGTAATTATTCTAACGCAACAACGTACATATAATTATACAAAAAATCACAACATCTTGTAGCTTAAGTTTTGAAGATTAAGCATATAAAATTACATGCTTTCATATTTTCTATAACGTTGCCAATTATAAATAAAAAAAACCCGGTTATTTATGAAAAAAGTATTATAAAACATTGATCAGACAGCCATTATCCTGCTTATGCTCAAGAGTGCTCGTTTCCTTAGGCCTTTCAAGATTATTTTCAACAATATGAAATGGAATATTCACTTTCTGATGTATTTTCCTTTGCTGAATGAGCATTGTCAGGCCAGTAATGTAAATAATTTTTGAAGTTAAGTTTCAATATTCGTGTAACGAACGGCATGTTTAAAAGATGCTAGAGGTAGAAAGTAGAATTTGACGAAGCCTTTTCTTCTATAAAAGTCTTCAATGAGACATAAACAAGTGGCGTGATGTACAAATTATGATCAATAACGCATTTATTGTTTGTTATGCAAAATTATTTTGCATCACCACCATTATTTTCGTTATATACGGAAACGGATTTCTCCTTGTTTCTACTTCCAAATTCGGAAACAATTTTTATTAAAAATTTCCAAGAAAAAAAATTCTAAAAATAATAAATGAAAACAAGAATATTAAAAATAGCTATGTAACAAACAATCTCAACAGCTCAACAATAACGAAGTATTCATCCAGTAATGACAATGACAAAGTATTTACCCAGTTCAAGTTTAGTTTCTTCTACTAATAATGACAAACAACAACGGCAAAGCATTTACCCAGTTCAAAGGTAGCTTCTTCTATTAATAATGACAAACAACAAAATATTTAAATGGCAATTCATCTTCATCAAAACTTTCATCAAATCCATCTGAACCAGTCACTTCTTGAAGTAGATTTAGAAACAATCCCTTTCGTGAGTTGGAATTTTAATAATTATTTATATTAGTTATGCATAAATTTATTATGAGATCAGTGCCAAATAACTAGGATCCTGATTTCCATTACCTAATAAGTATTGTACAACAAGGGAACGGAATAACTTTGAACATTCTACTGTAATAAAAATTTCTCTATAAACCTCTATCGAAATTTGATATGAGGGTAGTTTATAACTATGCTTGACTATAAAAACTACATTAGCAAAAGCCCTTTAACCGATTAATTTAATCATGTGAAATTTTTTAATTGACAAATTCGAATAAAAAGAGTCATTCGAATAATATAACTGATAGTGATAGCATATGAACTATCCAATCCAATTAAATTTTTTACTTATCAGTTCTATTTTTCTTTGGTAGTCCTTGTAGTAATAATAGTAATAGTAGTAGCAAAAGTAAATTTCTTTACTTTTCTTTCCTTTAGTCAATTAACAATAATAGTTGTAGTAATTGGTTTTTTTCCCTTTGTAATGATGATAATAATAGTGATTTAATTTTTTTTTCTACTAGCAAATAGTAATAGTCATAGTAAGGTTTCTATTCGAATAAGAATTATTTGTTTTTTATTCGTTATGAATTTGGATATTCGAGTTGCATTGAATGTTTATTTGAATAAGAATAGCAAATAAAATGAATAATAGTAATAATAATAATAACAATAGTAATATTAATATTAATATAAACAAATAAATTCGAATTGTGTTTCGAATAATTCGAATTAAGAATTTGAATAGAAACTCCGGTCCATAAGTCTCACCCAAAAGAAAAAAGTAATAAATATTATGTTTTGGTGTTCTAGTAACAAAAAACAAAAATTGCAGTGTTGGTTCCAATAAAATTTCATTGGAGCATTCTAATAAATTTCAATTGGAATTGGAACATTCCAAATGTGATTCCAATGAAGTTAACCAGTCATACACACGAATTTTTATTGGTTGATATCAATTGAAGATCCAATTGCACAACACCGAAAAATTGTAACACAAGATTAACCTGCCAAGGACCCGGTTGATGAAAAACTTTCAGATGGTATCGTTAATATTACTACTACTATCGTTAATATTACTATAATTATTATTGTTGTTATAATATCTCGCCTTTAATTTAATGATTCGAATAAAATGAATAATTCTGATAGAACGGATAAAACGAATAATAATAATAATAATTCGAATTAAAATAAGAATTTGTATTACGAATAGAAGAAACTCTAACTATGACTTTTATCCTGTTATGATGTATTCTATTTTGTTTTTTGAGCAAATGTATGTTTTTTTATCATTCTAGGTAATGCAGGTGGATACACTTCAACTAAATGTCTATGCCACTGAATTCTGCACTAAAATTCCAGACGCGAAAATGAATGTTAAGAGATATTTTTTTAGCCGCTAAGCCGTTTAAAAATTGCTTAGCCGACTAACATCACTAGATAATAATAGTATTTTAGGGGTTTTTTAATAAGCAAAAATGAAAAATAAAGAATATTTGTTCAGTTTGGGATTTTTAGAAATTTCGAAACAGTTTTAATATAAGTGATTGTTTTTGTTAGCATTGGTTTTTATTACTTATTGTTAATTTGTTTTAGTATTTTTACAAAAATATTCATTATAAAACAGAAATTCAATCAACATAAAAAGGGAATTGAACAACTCCCGATCTTTACTTGAAAAAGCAAAGGACAAATTTGGGTGGGTCCTTGCTTGAAACAGCAGGAAAAAATAAATACTGCATAGTATCTAACACTTAATGCTTGTACAGTCCCTGGTGAAAGTAATGGCGCATGATTTTTTACAAATAAAAAGAGCAGTTAATATATATATATATTCTTAAAGTCAAATAATACGGCTACAACTTTTATTATTAATTCAACATCAATTCATGCTTGAACTTGGATTTGCATGCTGTTGATGATGTTAACTATTGCATTTTTTTCAAGAGCTTTCCATTCCTCATAATTATGTTAATATTTTTAAAACAGTTTTTTTGTGATATCATTTTTTGATACATTTCTTGATATTATGCCCAGATATCCTCAATAGGATTGAGATCTGGGCTGTATGAAGACCAAGCAAGAGCACATCCTGGAATGCATCACATTATCATAAAGTTGTTCGTTTAGAATTTTACAATATAGGTAGTGGCCAAAGTTTTCAGTAAAGTCATGAATGCCAATCTTCCCTTTAAAATTGATCACGCCCAAATATGAGCTTTAAATAAGTGCTTTACCATGGATTGGATGAGTTTTTCACAAGACCATGCCAACATAATATATTGTGTAATGTTTTCTTTTTTTTTTATGTTTCCCTAAGAAGACTCATCAAAGACTTGAGAGGTAAATCCGGTGCAGTTACGATAACGAATCACGAATCTTCTAAACATTTTGGTGCTCAACTTTAGTAAACCGAATTGTTGGGAGGGATGAGATCAAAATCAATGCGCTGGCTTGAAGTGATTTGCAAATTGATTTGAAATAAAAATATTTTCATTTTCCAAAAATAGTTGTAGTTATTTTGTTCAAAACGCCAGGCAGATACTTGACTGAAAGGAAATCGTGTTTTGCTTTAGATGTTTTTTTTTCATAGTGTCTACCGCTGTCTACCATCAGTCTTTGTCTTACTCTGACGTTTAGGGCCGTTTGAAATGATCAAAAATTTATGGCTTTGCCTTGGAGCCTTTACTTGAGATCAAAGACTTGTCACACAACGTGTTAGTGTTAGTATATTTTCGGGTCACGAGACCTGGATTCAAAAACACTTTTACATTTTATTTTGTTATTATTATTATTATTATTATTATCGGTCAATTCAATGATCGATAAGCAAAAAAAACAATTTTTTTGAATTTGACCATTTGAGGGATAGTGGATGATAGGAAAAATTTTATTTTTAATTTCCTTTCGGAGAAAACATTGATTAATCTTTGCAAAGGATTTTTTTTTAAGAAAAAAAAAGTTAATAAATCAACACAATGAATAAAAATATGACTAGCTAATATTTGATGCTCCGAACGAATATATAGATACCTCGCATTTGTATGTAACGTGTAAAGCCAAATCATATATAGAAGACCACTTTAGCACTACGTACCTCGACCCTCAAATTCGAATGCAACGTAAAAAAGCAAAATAAATGCACCCTTTTTTGCATTTTTTTAGGGGTGGCGGGTCTATTTATATGTTTGTGGTAATTTATTAGACTAATCAATCAATGCATGAAATAGTCTATTTTATAAAAATTGCATCATTGATCATGAATAACATGATAGGATGCCAAGGTGCTTCGCACCCAATGCTAATTTTGATGCTCACGAACTAATTTTGTTTGACAAAATGTTGCCACGTCAGATTTACTGCCATCAATTCAAGTGAATTGCTTTAAAGGCTAATAAAATATAAAGGCTCACAAATCTCCTTTGTTTCGTTAAAGGAGCCAAGTTTTTCTTTTGCTGAATACAAAAGTTTAATTCCCACACACTCATTTACCACTAAACTCGAACATCTCTTATATTAATAACGTGATACATGATCGGAGTAGATAAAATCATCGATTAGGGATTTGGTACTTTATGTTCCAAGGTCAACTAATTTTAGTGTATAATTATTATCAAAAATTTATGTAAAAGTTT